CTCTTCATCGCTGAGCTCGAGGGCGCTGAGCTTCTCGCTGAAGTCGAACATGGCCCCGAGCAGGTCCCCCATGCCCATGGCCCAGAGCTCCTCCAGCCCGTACCGCGTGCGGCTCATGAACGTCACCGTCTGCTCCTTCACGTCGAACAGCGACGCGAAGCGAACCATCAGCACCTGCGGGGTGGGCAGCGTGTGGGCACTGGGATGGGGCACCGTGGCAGGACAGGGGCACCGAGGGCACCGGGCTCCGTGCCACGGCTCCCAAATGTGGGGCACTGCAGTGCCGTGGGGCTCCGTGCCAGCCCACGGGGCATCGTGCCACGGCAGGGGCTCTGTGCTCCATGCCACAGTTCCCAAACGTGCGGGCTGGGATCCCATGCCGTGCTGTGGGGCACCACACCATCCCATGGGCACCATGCAATGCTTCATGCCACAGTTCCCACATGCATTACATTGCCGTGGGACACCAGGGGCTTCATGCCAGTCCCTAACTCCCAAAAGTGGGGCACTGTGCCGTGGGCATCATGCTCCATACCACGGCTGCCACGTGTCAGGCACTGCAGTGCCGTGGGCCACCAGGCAATGCCATGGGCACCGTGGGGTACCAGGCGGTGCCACACTCCAGTCCATGGCTCCCAAATGTGGGGCACCATGCTTTGCCATGGGCACCGTGCCATGTCATGGAGCATCATGCAGGGACGAGTTCTGTGCCATGGCTCCTATATGTGGGGCACTGCAATGCCATGATCTGGGACACTGTGCCCATGCTTTGGGGCTCCATGCCAGTCCATGGAGCATTGTGCAATGCCAGAGGGATCGTGTCAGGCTTTGGGGCACCACGCAATGCCATAGGGCACCATGCCCTGCATCAAGCCCTTGCCATCCCAGGACATACCTCAAAGGTGCCAGCCTTGAGCAGGGTGACCTGGTCATGCTGGGAGAGCGCCTGGAAGCCGGGAATGTGCTTGGCGAACTCGACGACCTCGCGGACGGCGGGGGTGAAGCTGAGGGAGAAATCCTCCCAGATCTCCTGCACGGAGCGCCCGCTGCGCCCGGGAACGTGGCTGTTCATGGGACACGCCTGCAGGAGGCGGGAGGTCAGCGGGTACCCGG